CACCAGCACCAGCAGCACCAGCACCAGCACTAGCAGCACCAGCACCAGCAGCAACACCAGCAGCACCAGCAGCACCAGCAGCACCAGCACCAGCAGCACCAGCAGCACCAGCACCAGCACCTCCTAGATACTTGGTCCACAGGCAGCATCTCACACATGCCAACCTGCTTGATCTGAAAATGAGCCTGTGGCCAACCCTTGCCCAAAGCTAACCATAGCTTGGGACACTTTAGCAATTTGATCCAACAACTTTTCCTACTGTTTAGACCAGTTGTTCTCAGACATGGCTGTGTATTAGAACTCTCTGTGGAGCTGTTGACTAAGCCTTGGTTCCCTGGTGGCACCCTATGGCACTGGGAATGAAGGTCAAGGTCCACTCTGCTTTGGAAGCACCTGAGAGAGTCCAGAGTGCCATGATATTTGAGAGCCAAAGGTTTATAGCACTCTAAACTATATTTGCTACTAATTACAACAAGATGCCCTCACCCATCTCGCAGAGGTAATAAACACAGGTGTTGAGGTTTGTGTCTAGTTGTGCCCGAAGTCTCATGCAGTCATGGGGTGGACTTCTAGAGTTTGTGATTAACTCGTGACCCACTGGGATTATGGGTGTGATTGCTGCTGGGATTCTGGGTGTGAGTACTGTTGGGATTATGGGTGTGAGTGCTGCTGGGATTATGGGTGTGAGTACTGCACCCAGCCCAGGGCGGATGCCTGAATGCAACATAGGGGAGACAGACTTGCTCTCTGCTGTGTTGTTAACGCTGCTCCTCCCTTTGCTCTTTGCTGCCACCATGAACTACCCTCTACCGTGTGCCACTCTGCCTTGGAGCCAGCCGAGTATGGACTGAACCCTCCAGTAACTGTGACTAAATAAACCTTTCCTTCCCTAATTTTGAGAGTTGGGTATTTGTCCCAGCAATGATAGGAAAGTAACTGAGACAGAATTTAGGGTAGAACAGGGAGATGGCTCAGTGGAATAAGTGCTTGCCTGGCAAGCTCAAGGTCCTGAGTTCAATCCCTGGTACCAAAAAAAAAAAAAAAAAATTCAGAGTATTTATGCGTTAAGCTTGGATCTTGTGTGTATAGAAAGCCCCGCTTCCAGGTGACAGCTGAGAACACCTCTTGCTACCCCATCTCCTCGTTGTAGTCCGTACCTCGATTTGTCTAGTGAGACCTGAGGAGACTGCTTCTCCTGTGAAGCACGGTGTAGGAGCTACAAGTTGCTATCATACGCACCTCCTTTTGTTTTCTTTGGCTTTACAAGTATTTTTCAAATAAACCAAGATTAGTAGGAGCCTGGCCTCAGCATACTGCTTCCCTGTAGCAGAGTTAGAGGCTGAGAGGCACCATGAGGACTCATCTTTAGCAAAAGCAGCACCCAAACGAAATGAGGGGCCAACAAAAATGTAAAAAAAAAAAAAAAACAAGATTGTGAAGTATTTAAGAACCAGAAATACTTTCTGACAGGTCATCCTGCTGCAAAGATAGTCGTGTGGCACCTGACTGCAGGAACTGCTGCTGTCTTAGAAACAGCCTATGTGTTCGAGAGAATTTGCCGAGTCCTCCCCAGGAAGGTGAAATCTGTCCAGTGGTGCCTGGCCTTTCAAGAGCTGAATCAGATCCTTGCTTCATGCTGCAATGGGTTTAGCTATTTATTTTTCTCACCATAAAGTGAAATTGGTTGGTCTTGTTTATTTACCACAAGATGCACTGGAGCCTTCTAAATTATGAATTACCTCTAGCTCTCTAAAACAAGAGATCCTGTAAGTCCCTTTGCAGGCTGCAGGTGCTCAGACCATAGGTAAAATCCAGGTGTTGGTCCTTCCTATGCCCTCTGTGTCCCTCGGTGCCTTGTGTGTAAACAGGCAGAGGTCACACGCAGTAAAACGTGCTCTGTGCTGTGAGCTGAACTCATCTGACGGAGCCACGAGTGTCATCTTAGGGGTCTCTCGCTTCCGTCCCCTTTCCATCTCACGTAACTGTGTCTCTCTATGAGAAGGGGCTGGCTGCCTTTCCTTGTATCTGCTGGCTGGAAGTAGCTCGTGGCTGAGGGCTAAGTGTGACATTAAGGAGGGGCAGTGAGACTTGGAGATTGCTGAGCCCAGATGTTGCTTAGCGACATCCACTTTTCAGAAAGCAGCTACAAAATAGAATGCATGAAACTTGCACCCCACACACACTGGTGGTGAGTCTTTAGATTTCTCAGCACACTTGGAGAAACACGTCTTTGTTCTTACTCCCAGGCTAGACCTCACTGTTGCAGATTCTGTAGCTGCAGTCTGGTGCTGATTTGGCATCTGATGCTCCATCAGTCAACCCTTGGACATGGGGCTTAAGTCTCAGATCTCTTTTAAATATATTATAATCTGTTTACACAAATCAGTCTCTTTGAATAGGGTATTCTAGGAACCATAGCCCATATATCCCGTGAGCCCGATTTCCCATCAGTCAATGGTAATTTAATATATACATGCATATTTTGAACAACTTGGAGTGTATTTTTTCTTAAGGACAGAACTTTAAAATAATTTTTAAAATGTAAAGGATATGTTAGGTATAAACAGGGCAAATGATATTTTCTGCAATGTTTTTATGTAATTCCTAAGTTTCCTTCAGTGGCCTTATACAAATAAGACTCAGCAATTTAGCTGAAAACCAAGGGAGTAGGAAAATGGGGTAAAGACAAGCAGGTGTTGCTTCTGGAAGCTAAGCAAGTAGAAGGAGCATTTGCCTTGGAAAGGTCGCTGCACGGGGCGTATTTGTAAGATCAAAAGACACTAATCACTCTACATGGGGCACTTAACATATGGCTGAAACAACTGCCACTACCTCTAATAAATTTTCTTGCTTAATTTTCATCACCACCCTAAAATGTAGAAAGACTTTTAATAGTTTGCTTCAGGAATGCAGTTTTTAGAATAGTCAGCCCCTAAAATTAATTTTAAAAATACCTAATCCCTACCCAATAAGGAGCTCTAAAAGGTTCAGTAAAAGTCATTAAGATTTTAAAAAATTAAGAAATTAAAAGTTGTCCGTTGCGGACACCACTTAAGGTAGAGCAAACTAAAAACTTCTCTGTTACACATACATTCATACAATTAACAATAACCTCCAAGGAAGGCTTAGGAGCGGGCCGGCTCCACCACCACCCTTCTGCGTCAGGGTCTGAGGGTTCAGCTCAGGGGTCCATGACAAACAAGCGGCGTCACTGTTGCCATACGCCGGCAGGCACCAGTCGACATCAGCAAATGCTCGGATTTCATTTTAATTCGTCACCTTTCTCCCGGAAAACCAAGGCTGTGCCTGGAGGACAAGAGCACTTTCCCCGTTCAGCCTGGCGCTCTCCACGGAGTAGAGTGAGGTCCAGTAGAGATAGCCGCCCAAGGAGTCCACTGCCATGTCGTTCACCAGCAGCTTCACGCGCGTGACCATGTCCGCGTGGCCCGTCAGCACAGACTGCCTGTGGATCTAGGGGCACAGCAGCGAGTCAGCTAAGGGCGCTCCGAGGACGCTGCTGCCTCGGGGCGCTGACTGCAGGCATCAGTGAGCTGCCCCAGCATCCACTCAGCACAGGCGTTTCCCAGTACCACGCTAGGCAGTGTGCCGCGCACGCCACCGCGTCCATGGAACTTACCTCCTTTTATCTCTAACGGGAAAGCAAACAAATCTATTTTCAGTAAAAGCATTTAGTATTTCGAATTGTATCTCAAGAAAATAAAACCCTACGGACAAGAGTGTTTGATTGGATTCCTGAAGGAGACATCGGTGCTCTTCAATGAGCACCCTCTCCTTGCTCCTGTCTCTCACCTTCCTCCCTCCCTCCCTCCCTCCCAGGAATCGCCCCATCAACACGCACCTACCTATGCCGTGCCAGGCACTGCGCCATTTGCTCTTCAGAACATCGACTCCTACAATCCTTACATTGAGCCTATCAGGGATTTCTAGTCCCTCTTTTTTCCTTGTAAGTAAAGTGGATGAAATGAAGTTAAACAATTCATCCTGGAGTTAAGCTTGCATTACAGAGATAGAGCAAATGCTGAAAGCCAGTTATATATCTACTATTTTTTTTTTTTTTCATTTTTTTTGGCAGAACTGGGGATTGAACTCAGTCCCTTGCACTTGCCAGGGAAGCGCTTATTCCACTGAGCCATCTCCCCGGCCCCTATATATCTACTCCCTTCAAAACTAGCTTTAGCCTGAACCGTTTCAGGAAGCATCCCTAAGCGGTACCTTCAATGCCACCTTACCTGTCATTTACACCATTTATCAGGCTACCCCGAGCAGCTCCACCTCTGACTGCTTTGCTTTTCATTATTATTTCTTTATCTCATCAAAGCAGCAAGAAGAGTAGTGGTTGCACAACACTGAATACAGCAAAACCCCTCGAGTTTCACACAACAGAGATGAATTTTATAGAGCGTAAATTACACGTTGACAAAGCTCTGAGGGCAGTGCCACATCTGCTGCGACCCTCTATTCTCACCTGTGCCTGTTCTCAAGACCCGCCACACATTAGTAGACGAATCATGGCCAAACAAATCAGTGGAAGGACACAAGCACCCTCCCCCTCAAAGAGATGCTTCAGCATCACGTTTTTCTGACGTACTCTTGTCCTTGGCCACCATCTGTTCCTTGGTGCATCACCACACAGGTGTCCTGGAGGCTCCCATGTTGACTCAGGTGTGTCCCCCCAGCTCTCTGCCCCAAAGGCTGCAGTGGCCAGGGTCCCTGGTCCTCTGGCTTCCAGGAGATGCAGCCAAGGGAAGTACTGGCAGGAGGAAGAGGCCAGGGTGCCTACTCCCTGGCTTGCTCTCTTCTAGCAGCTGGGCATCTCAGTCCCAGTTGCTGTCCCCAGTTCTCCTGGACATCTGGCCTTTCCAGGCCCTCACCTTGCTTTCCTCCTGCCCATGGGCTTCTGCTCTTCCAACCTGTTAGACCAAGGTGTGCTTTGCTGTCCCTTGCTCACCTGCCCTAGCCCTGGCCACACCTTTGGAGACAGCCTTTGAGCTCACCTGCCCTAGCCCTGGCCACACCTTTGGAGACAGCCTCTGAAATCCGTCTTCTCCTGCCAGGGACCTCAGGTGCCATTTTATTGTATTTATTTATTGCATTTAGTGCAGGGGATACATGGTCTACAGGGTTTCACTATGAAGATCGGACTCATAGTGATCCTCCTGTTTTCAGCCTCCCAAGCACTTGGATTACAGGTGAGTGCTACCACGCCCAGTCTCAATTGTTGTCTCAGTGTGCCCCGGGAGTGGGGCCAACACAGCAGGCCCGGGAATTGAACCCCCAGGTCCTGCGTCTGCTTTAATCCCATGAGCTATTTGGCCGGCCCTCAAGTGCCATTTTAATGGATTTTTAAGTATTAACGAAACTATGTAATTAGAACACCTAGTAGTGATATAAAATTTCACTTACACATAAATAAACTTTAAAAGCAAGTAAGGTTAGGGACAAACATCACCTAAGCGGCATAAAATCATGACTACCCAGGACGCCAGACTTTCACTTACCACATACGTCTTTCCAGCCCAGTACAGAGAGCGGCCCAACCACTCAAAAGTCAGAGCCCCTGCCCCTGCAATGCTGGGGATGCGACGGCCCTCGGAGACTCCCGACCCATTCAGCAGCCGCACGTGAACGTCTCCTCTAGTGTCACTGTAGTACAGGCTGCTGTTGTACCAATCCATGTCTCCAATAAAAAGAAAAGGTTATCACCAGTCATGCTGTATGTACACCAAGAACATGCAAGCACCTCAGTATAATTTTAAATCTTTTTTTTTCTCCGAATGCCTTCAGGGCAGGTTTGGCTGGCTTGCGCGGTGGGGATTAAACTACAGCAACCTGAGCCTGACTGCTTTGTGCAAGCAGCCACTTGAAGAACTGAGCTAGGGCCAGGCCCGCTATGATTTTAGATCTTGTGCTGACACTTAATAGCCCCCAGAACTGCACAAAGCAATGCACACTCGGGTCACTTTCTGCATGAGACACTGTCCTGGCTGCTGTGCGTATCTAAGTCAACTTCTAAGACAAAGCTAGGAAGCAGCAAGGAGCTGGCCGGCCACCTGGCAAGCCTGCGATTTGGAGAACTGATCTACTCTCAGGCCTCACAAGGGAAGGAGATGGAGCCCCGGGTCTGGCCAGCTCCCAAGTGGCACCCATGCCCCTAGCTCCACCAGAATCTCCCTTCTCAATGCCAGTCCCCACAGGTCACACTGGTGGTGTACTTTTCATGGCTAAGCCAATCAATAAAATGATCAGATAATTAGAGAAGATGTCACCATCAGGAAGATTACTGTTAGCCCACCCAGAAGCGAAGTTTGGTTTTTGTTTGGTTTTTTTTCCAGGCAACATCATCCTTCACTACTTAATAATCCTCTTCACCAATGTACTTTTTACGTATTTAGTGCAGAGTCTGCAGGGCCTACAGGGTCTCACTACATAGATTGGACTCAGAGTGGCTGTCCTGTTTTCAGCCTCCCAAGTGCTGGGATCACCGGCACGCACCGGCACGCCCGGTCTCAGTGTGTTCTTGTTGAGAACTCTACAGTTCCTGGCTCCGGTCACATAGCACACTCAGGGCAAGTGACCTTAATGTAGCTGCCTTTGTGGAGCGAGAGGTCATTACAGTGTGTCTACCGGTGTCAAGCGGCAGGACTAAGACACACAAGCAGTAATTCCGGCCTTTTGGAAGTGGGCCTGGATCAACATCTAACTTTGTATTTGATGAACTGACAAACAGCACTCTCACTTAAGGACTGACATTTTCTTAATATCACTGGCAGTGTCATCTACCTAGTATGTTCTCCTTTCATTAGTAATCCACTACCAAGTGAGTCTATTTTTTTTGTTTTGTTTTTTCTTTTTTTTTTTTTTTTTTTGGTTCCTCGAATGCCTTCAGGGCACTTTTGGCCAGCGGGAGAGGTGTGAGGTTTGAACTCCAGCAACCTGAGGCTGACAGCTTTGTGGAAGCAGCCACTTAAAGGACTGAGCTAGGGCCAGGCCCCCGATTCTATTTCTTGAACATCTTGAGAATCCCATGAGCGCAAACCTGACACACAGGACAGACCAAAACCAAAATATTCCACTTGAAACCAACTTCTCCATGCATTGTTGGTGCACAAGCGCTTTACCTGACACGTTTCCTATGTCAGAGGATAAGAACACTCCCGGGCCAAACATGTGCAGGGGTTTACTCCAAAGCCCGTCTTCTTTCACAGCCATGATAAGTGGTGGCTCAGCAGCTGTGTGAACACAAATGCCACAGGAAGTATCTCTAGATAGAAGCCTTTCTGAAGTAGAAGCGCACAGCTTAGTATTAGATTCATTGATACAAGGTAGTGAATAACAATCCTAAACGCAGCCCCCTCCACGTCTGGGAAGCGCGGTCCTCAGCGCAGCGCCGGGAGGGCTCAGACCTCCAAATACGGCGCCCGATGCCCTCTGCCTCGCGGGGCACCAGTGCTGCGCTCCAGGACTCCGCCTCCAGGGCTGAGCCGGCTTCTATGGCCACATCATCCAGGGTGTGTTTGGTGACAGCAAGAGAAGAGGGAACAGAGCCTCACTTAGAGCAGAAATATAGGGTAGGAAGTGAGCTCCACTGCGTTATGATTCTGCGCGTGCTTGTTACGAAAATGTCCACTATTGCTTCATTGGATTAAACCAAAACCAAAATATTCCACTTAAAAACAACTTCTCTATCCATTGCTAAGCTCCTGTCAGAGTGGGGAGAGGTGAACTGCCTTCACTTTAATGAGCACCTCACAAAACTGAAGGAAATTACACAGCTGCTCAACATGAGGAGCCTCCATCCAAACTTGTGTAATGTCTCTCCAAGGAGTTCTGTCCAGAGTGACTCATACCTCAGCCCTGCTTCATTCTCTCCTGTCTTAATTCGCTTGAGCTTCCCACCTTCTTTTTCTTGGCCCTGGCATGGCTTTATCCCTGCTCCACCCATGCAGCCAGAAACTCCTCCCTGAGACACGCTACTTTACAGTCTCTGCTGCCTCTCAGAGCCTGCAGAAGCAGACCAGTCTCCTTCTGGTGACACACCAGAGCCTGCTGGCACCAGGCCTTGGCGCTGGGTTCCCTGCCCACTTCAGCACGGTGACTGCAGCTGTGCCCGCCACGTCCTGCCCCTGGCATAATTTAACCATCAGCACCTACATACAGGCTTACACATCAAGATTTTCTTTATAAGGAAAAAGAATATTAGCATTTTGAAAAGCAATGTTGAAGGACAGCACCACACTATCTGCTTGATAGAAGTACCCACATTATTCTTTTTCCTTTTCTTTGCAGAACCAGGGATTGAACTCAAACCCTTGCGCTTGCCAAGGTTTGTGGTGATATTGCAGAAGGGAAAGATACCCTTCTTCCTGGGCTGCTGCTCTCCATGGTTCTGTTCAGAGTGCCTCGAATCAACTGTAATAAGGAGGGCAGCGGAGAGCACAGACTTATCTTCCATTTCTTCCACCAAGAAGATAAGATTCAAAATAATTCACAGCCCCTCAACTCCCTTACCATAACTCGGAGTTCAAGAATGCTGTGGTTTAACAAGACATGAAAAAAAGGACACCCAGGAAAAAGAGGAAAGTTTCCTATTCCCTAAAATGTATTTCAGAAACAAAAATACTAAATCAGAAAGACAAATTCTACATTAACTTGTATTTCTAATAGCAGGTAAAAACGTCCCCAAGAGGTCAGTAACTCTTCTAATTTCTTCATTACATTGAAGGCAAGGAATTTTACAGGATTATTGTCAAAATCATTCCCTAAAAACATAACATTTCTCACCTGGCACCAGGGTCGTGCCCACGGAGGGCTCTGACCAGGGACCTTGTCCCTGGGGAGAACCTGCTCTCACAGAAACCTTGTATTTCATAGCACTCTGCAGCCCAGGTATGTCAAGCATGACTCCCTGTATGTTAGAGAAAGTTCTGGTCAACTCAGGAAGGTCTTGGGTTGATACCTGCACCTCGTAAGTCCAGTTCTGCCAGGCTGAAGGGCCTAAAGAGAAGAGAACATCATTGACTAGGACATCAGCAGTGTGAATCAAAGGTTTTCAACAAAGCCAGCGCCAGCCTCCTCTCCAGTGCCCATCAGCCAGCTAATCATCAGAGTCCCTGCGGGATCCAGCTAGGACGGTGCCCATTCCTCCTGAGCTGCCCAGTCTCCTCTGCTGAGGGGGACATTGTCAGGACAAGGAGATTGCCCTTCCATCAGAGATGCACGGCAGGCTGCATTGTGCTGTCCGAGGGACGTTGGTGATAATGCTAGTTATAACCAGGTTCTTCACAAACACGCTTAAAGGAGAATCTCCAGTACACTTCCTGGGGCTCCCACAGGACCTCCAAGAAGCCCAATCAATATGCAGAGAAAAGTACCTATTCATCTTGCCATTTTTGAGATATGTAACCAATAGGTGTAATTCAGTTTGTCTTAAATTTACGAAGCCCGTGTTGGCTAAATACTTCTGCCTAGTGACCAGGGCTAGAACACTACAGCCTCAGGCCAGATCTGGCCCACTGCCTACTTCTGTAGGTGACGCTGTGCTAAACCCAGCATCAGCTGTCACCTGCATGCTGTCTGCAGCTGCCCCATGCTCCTGCACAGGGCTGAGTGGCTGTGACAGAGACCACCGCACTTACAAAGCTGACATTATCTACTGTCTGGGCTCGCCTCCACCAAATGTTCGCGGGCCTCTGTGCTCTATACTGTGCTAACTGCTCTACTCTTGTGCCCTAATTTGATCCGCACGACAGCTCCGCACAAAGGCGTAATTAATACTCTCATTCATTTCAGTGCACAAAGGAAGCCCAGGCACAAAGTGGTTAAGTAAATTACCCAAGGTCATTCCACCGTCCCTTGTGTGGTAATTCTGCTGGCAAGCTCAGTACCAAAACCATGCCGTGTGGCTCCGGAGCCTACCTGATGTCCCCTGACACACTGCCTCTCTAGAGACAGAGTTAAGATCAGAGAGTTTTAGGAAGTTATTCAAATTCATGTATGATTTCACCACAAATAACTTGTGAAACTACTCTGTTAGGAGATCTCCTCTATTGCAAAACTAATAAATGAAAAACAAGTGTAAAAAAAGTTTTTAAATTAAGTAGCTATTTCTGGCTGATGACTGCCGCCACAGGGGCTCTCAAAACTGAGTCCCACTTTCATGCTGCTCAAACCTCCCTCCTTCCAGCAGACCATCGCCCAACCCTGAGGCCAGGGTACTCACCGGCTCCAATGGGGAGGGCCGGCGGCTTCCACTGAACAAGGGCCTGGTGAGACCCAAACAGTACGGAGACATCTCTTGGCTGGTGTGGGACAGGGTGAGGCTGGGTGGAGGAACCAAAGATGACCAAGTTACCAAACCCAAATTCTTCTATGTGTCTCAGGTCACATCCCACAATGAACTCATTGAAAGACATGGCGTCCTGTTGGAAAATGGCCTTGCCATCCGTCACAAGGAAGTCACTGTTCTCACAAGCAAAGCTCTGCACATCAGCAAAGGGGAACTGAGGTGGGACAGGATGTGAAGCAGAACCATCTAGAAATGTTGACATGAAGCCTCGAGTGGTCTCGTTGAAATAAATGATCCGCTTAGACTGTGGCTTTATTGCAAAGTCCTTTAAGGTGCGACTCTCCACGACGTGCGCAGGCTGCGTGCCTCTGCCCGGCGGCACAGGGAGGTCCCCTCTGTAGATGCCATCTCGCAGGAGATAAAAGATGTACCTGACACAAAGCAAAAGAAGCTGGCATGATTCAGCGCAAGGACAAGCGCGTCATCGACCAAGGTCCAGCCTCAGCCTCCAGGAACCACAGCTGAGAGGAGAAGAAAGTGGGGGCGAAGAAGGACTCAGGCAAGCATAGTGGGGTTAGGAGGGAAGGAGAACACGTCTCTTCAACCCAGAGAAATATCAGTAGCCTTTATTTAGACATGAGTGATTGCATAAGCTTTCTTTATGCAAACATTAATAGATGCTGCTTTCTATCTACAAGTGAGAAATAATTTAATTTTTATGTATTTAGTACAGGGTCTCACTACACAGATCCAACTTGTAGTGATCCAGTTTTCAGTCTCCCGAGTACTAGGATTACAGGCACATGCTACCATGCCATCTCAGTCACTGTCTCAGTGGGACCCAGAGGCGAGGCCAGCGCTGCACACCAGCACTCGAACCCCAGTCCCTGCATCCGCCTAAGCAGGTGCTCTAATCCACTGAGCTATCTGGCTGGCCCTGAATCACTTTAAATTTTGGTTACTGTGAGTACACAGCATAAACGAGGAGCAGTCATGGGAACTCAGTCAAGCACGGCTGCTTCCGCTCTGACTACTCCTGCCCACCGACACTCTCAGCTCACGGGGTACTTTGTCACTGCCTCAAGATCTTGACTCTAAGCTTCCTCATTATTGCTGAAGAGGCTTGGCTTAGGCTCCTCCCTTTCTGCAGGTTTACAAGACAGGAGGCGAGGGGTCCATCTCTGAAGAACTTCATGCCCTTAATCAAGTTATGCCAAACCCCAGGTGATTAACTGCGCACTTTCCTTCAGGCGAGTCACAAGCCTAACCGTCCCCAGGGGCCTGTGGAGACGCGCCCATACGAAGCTCTGCTCTGCAGACTCCGGACTCCATGAGACTTTGTCGGAGGACAGGCGCGGACAGCTCTCCACAGTCATCTACTCGGCTAACTGCTTTAACCTGTCGCACAACCCATGCAAGCTCTCTGGAGCCGTACATTCTCCATGGTGCAAAGGGGTAAAGGTCATTACTAAAGATACGCTCTACTCATTTAAGTCAGAAGTTGGAAAACTGGAATTTGTAGCCTCATTTGTACTTTTTAGTCTCTATTCTAGGTGACTTTTTAAGGAACCACAGAATTTAAGAACAGAAAGTGTCTTTAATGATTTCAAAGCTGAGCATGTTATATAAAAATTACACGGCTAAATACGTTATTTACTATAAAGCAATTTTCTCTAAAATACACACATGCTAAATCTAATTCTATCAATAAGTTTTCTCATGCATTATGAATAATAAGAGAGCGAACACTGTTGACTGTCTTCTTTCTAAACACACCATCACTTTGCTTTGACTAGCACAACTACTGAGCACTGAGAGTGGCCTACATAGTTTGAAAATATCTACAATTGAGTTGGGTAATTGTAAATGTTTGATTTTAACAAACTAAGAAGAACTGTCCACTTGGCCAAGACCACCCAGCAATCAGAAGAAAGGAATCAATGGAAGAATTTTAAAAATCACACCCAACCTGAAGCTGAGCCCTCTGGTAATAAGACAAGCAATCTCTCCATAAAGAAAAAGAAAGCACACCATGAACACAGTGCCTGATAATCAGATCTGGAAATGGATTTTTAACTAAAGTATGAAAGTAGTCATTTGCAGGTACTCAATTTAAAATTTGTAGCATGGAATACAGATGTGAGCAGAATGCACGTTTACTTGGTGAAATCCTGTTACGACAGCGCGTGGCGTGGCAGCCTTCCAGGGTCCGTCACATGACAGGCCATTTTCCCGACATCGTTCAGTGTGTCCTTACTCTCGCTAATACCTCAAATCTTTATCCATATGCTCAGGACTCTCGTGCTGAGGTCACGTCCTGCAACGTAAGCTGCATTCTGGGTACAAAGCCACATTCTTTTTCTTAAGGGAGAGTACAGCAGGCCAAAGGAAAGCATGGTTTTTCCCAAATTCAAAACTGTTAATGGAATTTGGAAACACTGTCAAGTAGGTAAGAGGAAACATTTCTAGAGCAAAGATGCGTAATTCTTGTACAAAGTAAACAGTGCAGACCTTTAAACCCGATCACTACTTTGGAAGGGAAAGAGAAAGAGGAGTGCAGACCTGGGGAACAGGAGGAGGGCAGCAGTGGAGAGCAGAAAGGCTAGCACGACAGACCGAGGCCACCAGGAGAGCAAAGAGAGGTGCCACAGACAGAGGGTCCCAGAGGGTTTCTGGCTGGGTGGGAGCGACAGCACAGTGCAGGTATACCAGACTCCTGAGAACACCTTAAAATGCTGCTGCCAAGAGTGATGTGCTGGTTTTTACAGAAATTCTCCTGCCCTGGTCAAGGGCGGTAACTAGGAAACTGGCCCTGGTACAAGATGCCCAGTCCTATGTCCGCTGCAGATCAGCTTCTTGGACATGACTGAGTCAACCTGGGCTTCACTTCCCGCGTGCCCAGTGAGAGGAGCTTCCTCACGCGGAGAACAAGGACAAAATGTGTTACTGGAGTAGCACACTTGGATGTACATGAGGACAAACACAGCAGCGTAAATACTAGTTTCATGATCATTTATAGTCACACCTCAAAATCTAAGCACAAAATAATTTTATCATATCCTACTAGAGGGGAAGGCCACTGAATTTCTCACTAAGATGACTTTGAGGAATTGACTTAGCGGGTAAAGTTCATTATCCAATTATGTCCTGAAGGCATCTCAGAATGAGTCAGTTTATGTGACTGCCAACAGCAAGGCAGCATTCACAGGCTCTTACACTTCTGTTAGCTCAGTGGTTTCAGTGCCTGCTTAAGCAAAGCAGTCAGCTCAGGATGCTGGAGTTCGATCCCCAGATCCTCATGCCTTACCAGTCCTGTCCTTAAGGCATCCTGAGCCAGCCAAAAAAAAGAATTCTAGAGCGTCCGAAGCACCTGCTCCACTTCACAGGATTTTTAAGGACATCTATTAATTCAGTAACTCACTCAATCTAAAATAAAAATGAATCTAGTAAAAATTTAAAAGCAGATAAACAGAAAAGTTTGATTTTTGAATCAATAATGATCTTTTTCCAAGAAAATTACTTTTAACCAGCTTATTTAAAACTTTATGAGCTATAGGTTTTTTTTTTTTCATTCAAAATGAAAACTTTACTCCCACAAGGAAGAAAAAATGTCTAATTTTCCCCAAAGGTCTTGCTTATTGGTCTCTAACTTGATATTATACGGATATATTTTGAAACCTGTAGCCCCAAAATAACCTTCTTTTTGTCCTCTATATTCATGTGCACTTGGGGTTCACAAAATCTATTCACAGTGAATAGCTTATTTAATTTCAAAATAACCCAGCTGGGTACTATCTGCCCTGTAGGGACAGGCAGGCAGGGAGCCCTCGGCTGAGAGCCTGCTGCGGTGCGGTGCAGCGCCACCAGCCAGCGCAGAAGTGCCCGCGTCTTTAGAGAAAGGAGAGGAAAATGCTGTTACTGAAAACTGCTCCAGTCCTTATGCATCCAATTCGGTCTCCTGTGGGAGAAGGCCGGTCAGCAGCTTTCCTGAAGAGCAGCAGACCCGGAGAGGACTGCTCAGCAAACACGGACATGCACGCGATCAAAGGGCTTCTCGGTAGAGCACCAGGGGGCAGTGAGGGCCAAGGGGACAGTGAGGGCCGAGGGGGCAGTGAGGGGACAGTGAGAGGACAGTGAGAGGACAGTGAGGGCCGAGGGAGCAGTGAGGGCCGAGGGGGCAGTGAGGGGGCAGTGAGAGGACAGTGAGGGCCGAGAGGACAGTGAGGGCCGAGGGGACAGTGAGAGGACAGTGAGGGGACAGTGAGGGCCAAGGGAGCAGTGAGGGCCGAGGGGGCAGTGAGGGGACAGTGAGAGGACAGTGAGGGCCGAGGGGACAGTGAGGGGACAGTGAGAGGACAGTGAGGGCTGAGGGGACAGTGAGGGGACAGTGAGGGGACAGTGAGAGGACAGTGAGGGCTGAGGGGACAGTGAGGGGACAGTGAGGGCCGAGGGGACAGTGAGAGGCCGAGGGGACATTGAGGGGACAGTGAGGGCCGAGGGGACAGTGAGAGGCCGAGGGGACATTGAGGGGACAGTGAGGGCCGAGGGTGCCATGCCAGGCTGAGACCCGGGTCCCTCCATGCTGGGAAAAAGGTCTACCTATATTTTTCGGTAAAGGAGGAGTCCCTCAAGTTTGAAAGAAACACCCTTCTGATTGCCAGAAATGAAAGCGCACGGAAACATACTGAAACGCGACACGCAGGTCGGCTCCTCCGGCAGCCCGGTTTCCCGCGAGCCCCGTGCCCTGGGCCCCCCGCCGCCGGCCGAGCACCTCTGGAGGGCGCCGCGCAGCGCTACGTGCAGCAAAAGGGACCTTAGTTTGAAGACACGTTCTGCTTTGTATTAATAGTTTCCTAATTACTATAATGGTGAAATAATGCAAGTGCTGTGGAAGAAAGGTGATAACTATAAATCATGCTGTGGACTAAAATGCCCTACATCTAGCATAGAACCTTGAACTCTATTACCTGTTTAATAGGCCCTTTTACATTTAAAAAAAAAAACTGGTAAAGAGACAGCTGGTATACTAAAAAGCTTGAATTTATTGAGGTGTGTCTGAAGTTTAATGAGTTATTAATTTTCCATTTTGTAGCTCACTCATAACTTCATTGAACGTAATTGTATCTCAATAAACTCTTTAAATGCTAGAGGTATTTTATTGGTATTTAGACTCTGGAAGCCCTCTGTTATAAGCAGAAGCGATTTTCTGAATTTGGTAGCAGTTTGAAAATGAGCACCAAAAATGTAAAATTGCACGATTCTTTTTTCATTAAGTTTTTTTGCAAAGTTATGCGCTAACAAAATGTTGGGAATGGCTATACTTCTCTTGTAGCTCGGTATACGTGACTTCGATTAAGTACTTCTATGTGGCGTGATGTGTGGATACCTGTGGCTAAACTGCTAAGGGGCAACACTGTTGGTTCTTCTCATCCCGACACACATCACGTCCATCCTACGACCATTTCTGTGAGAGCTGCTGCTGACGGCTGGTCCTCCTCGGTGCACCACCAGCGGAAGCTCTTCTAAGAAAGTCCTCTTCGGTCCCACGCCGGACTGGCTTGTTGGCTTCAGTTGTTTTTCAGTGCTCCACGGCTGAGCCACACTGTGGCTTTAAACTATTCTGTGTCCCATTTACTTGCAATTACTGAATTGTAGGTTGTTACAGTCACATGTGTAGCTTGTTTTCCTTGTGTCAAACTCCATGTTGTTCTGTGCTGAACACCCCCTTTAGAAATGGCAGCGCTTAGAAGACCCTTCAGCAAACTGCCCTAGAATAGGGCCACATTTCTCTTTGTTTTGTGCTAGAGGCATGAGCGGATGCATGGTAACTAGTCTTTGGTCATGATAGTCACAATTAAATACTGTAAAAACAATATGCCTGTCAGTTTGGGGCACCGAGGCTCGGGGGAGGTTTGGCACACTGCCTTCCCTCCCTTGGTCTCTTAGTTATGAAGAAGCTAATTTCTAGCACAGTGAGACTGCTCTATGTGTACTGTACTGCTATCTCCTATAGAGGAAGCATAACGTTTTTTCCTTTGTGCATTTGCTTGTAAGTCAAGGAGGGACAGGACTTTAGAATTAGTGTTCAGATTCACAGATCCTACATATGTGCTTTTCTGTAAAGGACTACTGTGATACTAAAACAAGGGGAAAGCTGTTCAATTTGTCAGTACTTCATAAGGAGACAAAAGTCATGGCGCTATTGGCTAAATTTATTAAAATGGAACAAGTTAAGAGAATTTTCATATAAATCAAAAGTTGCCTCCAAAAAAAATTAACTTCTACTGGGAGTGGTGGCATGCACCTGTAACCTCAGCTCTTGGGAGACTGTAAACAGGCAGATCACTACAAGTCTTATCTAGTAGTGAGACCCTGAACACCCTGTAGACCCTTCCCTAAAATAAAAAAAAAAAAAAAAAAAAAAAGTCTAATAAACCTCCAGGTCATTTCTATTAAAGTATATTAGTTGGTAAAACTTTGAATAAACAGTTTTATTACAATATATAAAAAAGTTTACTAGGAATTTCAACAGGGGGAGAGAATCCACCCTCAAACCTGACACTTACCCATTGTAGGCATCAGCCACAAGTTTTTGAGGTGAGATAATAGAAGGTGGGGTAACTTCTTCAAAGTGTGAGCAGTTCTCTAAATCACAGACATACACCTAGAGAATCAAAAGCACACCAGAAGGATCGTGTCTGTTAGTGTTCAGTTTGGCCAACAAGCATTTCCCAAGCATCTGTCCCACGCTTGGCACTGTGCTGATCACTAAGCACACTCCTAACAAAAGAAGCCCTTAGAAAACACTCACATCTCCTGTACCTTCGTAAGCTTATATTCCGAAGGCATCAATGAAATACCTGCTGTTTCCCAGCGTATGGACGCACTCATTTGTTTTTAACACTGAACTGTATCCAGACTCACAGCTTCCACCTCTAATGGTGGCCTTTGTTCATTGTGATGAGCTTTCACTGTCCAAGAGGTAGAAATGAAATACAAAAACTCAGTGGAAACCTACTAAATTTATCCCTGGTTATTGTACGTAATGTGTAAGAGAAACTTGAGCTGGCTGCAGGCACGATGGGCAGGCTACTGAAGGCTAACACAGCCCCTCTGCTGTATTATGGCGAAGGGGTTTGGATGAACACAAGCTCACGCCTAGAAAATTATAAGTAAGAGTAGCTCAAAGGAAGGTCAGAACTATTACCAGGTAAAATCTAGACTCTTGCAGACCAGATATATTTGTTGCTAATCTAGTGTCTAACCATACTCACAAGAGTTGATATTTAATAAGAGAATAGTGTTGAGTGGTAAACATGCCAAAATATGCACATCAGTCTCGATATTCAGTTATTCATTTTAAATTCTGAAACTAACCAGCTCATTCATGATGAAATACATTCTCTGATAAAGCCAGTCTGTGGAGATGGAAGAAATCAGCCCTGAGCCTCTGTAGAACACTCTCAGGTCAGACTCGTTAGACATGTGGGCAGCCTCCTTCATCCATATGAGAGCTCCCTCAGAGAAGTAGACAACTCGCCGGTGCACATCAGCTGATATACCTAGAAGAGCCATGCGTTCACATGTTTATGTAGCAGTGCGCTAAGAAAACCTTCACGAAAAATTTTAAAATATCTAATAAAAATTAAAATAAAAGTCCTATTCTTGAAGAAAATAATTATTCTAAGTTCTTCATATATATAGATAGATAGATAGATAGATATAGATATAGATATATAGATATACACACACATAAAAATATTTTTGGAAGAACCTAAAACAGTACATTCTCTAAATAACAGAAAGACAGCTTTCTCTTTATGGACTTCAGTCCTGCCTTGCCACCACCGACCGGCCTCCAGGCACACACTGTACTTGAGCTACACCTGCAGGTCCAGAATTACTTTTAATATTCTTGTACTCTAGAAGCATTCCTTCCAGGAATTGTATGTCTTTCTTTTACACTGTGAAAATATTTCTGTTGTACTCACCTGTAATATTATGTCGTATAGCATCTGACCAAAGACAATGTGCTTCATCTACTAAGTATTTTAGAGATCTCTTTCTTAGTGACGTTTTTCTGGATAGAAAGAGCCACTGCTCCTCTTCTTGAACTGAAAAAACAGCATGGTTTGCAGACAGCATGCACTCTAACATGAATCCCCACTTACAACAAGGTCAGGCTTTCTCTGAAGGCCCTGGGGCACCTCATGTGTGGTATACAACATATCATCCCACAAAAGGGCAGGGGCAGAAAGTGCAGTGGCCAGCAAGTAGGACGTGTGGTGTGTGTATGTGTGTACGTGTGCCTGTGCGCATCCCTAAGTATCGCTCCTCCAGGAGGACATCAAGCGGTGAGCCCCAACCTTGAGAATCTGCTGAGTAGATTTTGGTCAGCCCTGGCTGGACCCTTGGCCCACGCACACTGACAGACAGTGGCGAGCACCATGTGGTCGTCCACATCTTTCCCTTTGAGGTGGAAGAAATGCTCTTGAAGGATGAAATCCGATCTGTGCAGCTGGAGACCAAGGCAGGGTCCACAGTGATGGGCATTTGGAGAGCTGAACAAATGGCACACACTGGTCAGCACACAGCTTCGCCCCTACTCCACATTTGACTTGCCCTTGGAACATGCCTCTTGTATAACAAGAAAGGACAAAGAGACACAAGTATAATCCTAGCATGAGACTACCAAACCTACTCTCACAAACAGGTCAACCAGACAAAAAAAAAAGTCAACAAGGAAACACCAGAGTTGAACCATACCATAGGACAAGTTGGCTTAAAGATATCTCCAGTTTTTTATCGGAAGACAAAACACATGTTTTTCTCAGAAGCCCAGAGAACTTTCTCCAAAATAGATCATATCTTAAGCCATAAGGCAAGCTTAAATAAATACAAAAATGACTGAAATAATCTCTTGCATACTACCAGCTCACAATGGAATGAAACTGGAAATCAATGACAAAAGAAAGCACGGAAACAATGTAAACACATGGAGATTAAATAATATGTCCTTGAGAGCCCAAGCCCAGGCCCAGCAAGTGTGAGGGAGAGCTGCCCCACTCCCATTGGCCCCCTTGTCCCATCCAAACCCGGCCCAGGCCTGGCATATAGGCCTGGGGTGAAACTCTACAGCTGAAGTCCCTGCAGAGAGTAGGAGACAGAACCACCCAGGTGACCCAGGAGCAGAACATCTTGCCAGAGGGGCACAGCGGTTTCACTCCCAAGGGCTGCAGCAGGAAGGAGCTGAGCACAGCAGCCAGACCCAAGCCAGGCACACCTGGAAGAATTCAAACTTTGTACATCTGCACCCAAATATCAGTAGATGCTAAGGTTATAACTACCAAAGCTCTACAACAAAGGTCAGAGCACAGTGCTATACAAAATGACAAAGAGAAGGAGCAAAATGAAATCTCAGACCCCCAAGCCCACCCACAACAAGTGCAGAGGACACTAATACAGAACAAATTGGGAACCACACAGCTGAAATCAATGAATCAAGAGCATCTAAAATGAAGAAACAACTGCAAAAAGGTAAAGAGGAACTCAGATCAGAAATAACCTCTTAAATACAAAAGAAATCTCTGAATTAATAGCATCTAAAGTAAAGAATCAAATGCAGAAACCTATGGAGGAAACCAATCAAAAAAATATCTGTAGTAAAAGGATTAATAACTGCTTCTAAAGAAGACACTGATAAAAAAAATACAGAGGAGATTAGAAAAATGATGGATTCCTTCAATGAGCAATACAGGAAAGAAATAGATCACATGAAGCAGAGTCAAAGAGATATAGAGGAACTTAAAATCTAAATCACAAGCTTGCAAAACCATTTGAGTGAAAGTGAAGACAGATTTTCAGATCTTGAAGACACTGGTGCAGCTAGTGAAAAGGTAAGAAATGATCTCTTAAAAACAACTAGGATGCAGGAAAAAATAATTCATCACTTGCAAGACAATGCAAAGATGAAAAACATGAGAATAATAGGCATCAATGAGAAAAAAGGAGTCAATACAAATGATATAAAAAGAACATGGGCAAAAGTCATAGCAGAAAACTTCCCAAATACGAGGAAACAATCTGACATTCAGGTAACTGAAGCATACAGAACGCCAACAAACCTCAGCCCAATTAAAAACACACTGAGACATATAACAGTCAAGATCCCAGAAACCCAGCACAAGAATAATATACTGAAAGCTACCAGAGAAAAGAAGCAGATCACATTCAAAGGAAAACCCATCAGAATTACGGCAGACTTCTCTTTACAAACCATGAAGGCAAGAAGAGCATGGAACAGAGTACTTCAGGTCCTCTATGAAAACAAATTCCAGCCTGGATTACTATATGCTGCAAAACTCTCTTTCAAGTTTGATGGAGAAGAGAAATACTTCCATGACAAAGAACAACTAAAGAATTTCACAATGACAAAGCCAACCCTACACACAGACTACTGAAAGATGTTCTAGAGAAGGACCAAAATGATCAGAACTCCATGAATGAGTACAGAAGGAACCCACTAAATAGGGCAAACAATTAAACACGGGAGAAAAAGGAGTAAAGGACAATAGGTAAATAACATGTCAATCATAAGTCAGTACATTTCAATTATAACCACCAATGTAAATGGACTCAATTCACCAATTAAAAGAAATAGACTAGCACAATAGATTAAGAAATATATTCCAAAAATATGCTGTATACAAGAAACACACTTAACTCATAAAGAAATTCATAGGCTGAAAGTCAAAGGATGGAAAATAATACTACACAACCCAGCACCTCAGAAAAAAGCAGGGATAGCAATCCTGTTCTCAGACAGTCTCAACCTCAAACCAAGAATGATCAAACAAAATAAAGAAGGCCACAATATGCTGGTTCAGGGGAAAATTCAAGAGGAAGAAGCAACACTCATAAATATGTACGCACCAAACACAGGAGCACTCTACTATATAAGACAAATCTTAATGGAAATGAAAAATCTAATATCCAATACCACAATCTCAACAGGAGACCTTAACACCCCCTTATCCCAAAAAGATAGGTCAAGCAGACAAAATATTAGCAAAGAAGTAGCAAAACTGAACAAGAGCTTGGAACAAATGGACTTAGTGGACATATACAGAGTGTTCCACCCAACCATTGCTGAATACACTTTTTTCTCAGCTGCACATGACTCATTTTCTAAAATAGACCACATACTAGTCTATAGGTCATGCTTCAGTATATGCAAGAAAACAGAAATTATCCCATGCACATTATCTGACCACAGTGCAATGAAACTGGAAATAAACGACAAAAGAAACCAGAAAGAAAAAACCCCTAAATACCTGGAAATTAAATGACACCCTACTCAGCCACCCATGGGTCACACATGAAATTAAGGAAGAAATTGAACAATGTCTACAATTCAATTAAAATTCAAGCACAACTTATCAGAATTTGTGGGATGCGATGAAAGCAGTTACATTAGGAGAACAGAACACAAACAAATGAACACGCTAATGCTGCACCTCCAACATCTAGAAGAGGAAGAGCAAACCAAACCCACAGCCCAAACACAGGAAGAAATTATAAAGATTAGAGCAGAAATTAATTTAATCTAGATGAAGAAAATAGCTCAAAGAATTAACGAATCAAAAAGCTGGTTCTCCAGTCCTAGCCCAGACCTGGTGAGTGTGTGGGAGAGCTTCCGGCTACCCAGTGCCCATGGGACCTGTCGGACCAAACCCAGGTGTAGAGGAAGTGAGACCCACTTCTGCACCCTTGGGACCCCTATTCCCACCCTGTAGCCCCCCTCCCCATGCACTCCCAGAGAGTGAGAACTTCTGCCACGTTCTCAGGACCCCCGGATCCAGCCCTAGTCCAGGCCTGGTGAGTGTGTGGGACAGCTTCTGGCTACCCTTCGCCCAGGGGACCTGTAGGTCCAAACCCAGGCACAACATGACTGAGAACCTCCTCTGCACCACTGGGATTCCCCCATCCTGCAGCACCCCCCATACCAACAACTGAGTGAGAACTTCTGCCGAGTTCTTGGGACCCTCAGATCCAGCCCTAGCCCAGGCCCTGTGAGTGTGCTGGAGACCTTCCCCTCTTCCGTACTCCGCCTTGTCCCCTTCAGACTCACCTCAGGCCTGGCATACAGGTCTCTGCAGCTGCAGTCCCTGCAGAGAGAGTAGAGGACAGAACCACCCAGCTAGTCCAGGAGCAGAACATCTTGCCAGAGGGGCACAACAGGTTCACTCCCAAGGGCTGCAGCAGGAAGGAGCTGAGAACAGTAGCCAGAACAAAGCCAGGCACAACTGGATAAATCCAAACTTTGTAGATCTGTACCTGAACTTCAGTAGGTGTTAAGGTTATAACTGCACCAAAACTCTACAACAAACGTCAGAGGACAGTGCTATACAAAATGACAATGAGAAGGAGCAAAATGCAATCTCAGATACCAAGACCACCGATGACAATTGCAGAGGACACTAGCACAGAACAAAGTGGGAGTCACACAGCTGAAATCAATGAATCGAGAGCTTCTGAAATAAAGAAACAACTGCAGAAATGTATAGAGGAACTCAAATCAGAAATAAAAAAAAAGAAATCCCTGAATTAATAGCATCTGAAGTAAAGAATCAAATGCAGAAACATATGGAGGAAACCCAGTGCCCACCCAGAACAAGTACAGAGGACACTAACTCAGATGAAATGTATGAATTAATAGTGTCGAAAGTAAATATGCAACAGCAGAAAAATATAGAGGAATTCAGAGTGGAATTAATTTCTGAAATGAAAAAAGAATTCTCTGAACTCATAGTATCTGAAGTAAAGAATCAAATACAGAAACATATGTAGGAAACCCAAGCTGAAAAAAAAAAAAGAACACTGCAGTAAAAGAATTAATAACTGCTTCTAAAGAAGACATTGATTAAAAAAATAGGAGATTATAAAAATGATGGATTCCTTCAATGAGCAATACAAGAAAGAAATAGATTGCATGAAATAGAGTCAAATAGACATAGAGGAAATTAAAATCTCAATCACAGGCTTACAAAATCATTTGAGTGAAAGTGAAGACAGATTTTCAGATCTTGAAGATGCTGGTGCAGCTAGTGAAAAG